GGAGGGGGTGAGTAGTCTCGCTTTGAAAATGTGGTATATGTCGGATAGTGAGATTGATTCTCAATCTCTTTTTTATTGCATGTATTGTAGGAAGGGGAAATTCCCAATTTATGTATATCTTACATTTTTGTCTTCTCCGTGATTCTTCAATGTTCTTTTTCGGTAATGTTAATATGTATATGTGTTTAACTTCATGTTTCAGGCTAATCTTGTGAATCTTGGCTTGCTCATGGTTTGGAAACCCTAAAGGAATGTATTGGGTGATTGTATGAGGAGATGATATGAACATATGATAATGTATGTAATTTGTGCTCTTAGTAGTGTTATATGATCCTTAGAATGCTTTTATCGATTGTAATCAAGATTTGATGAATGATACTCGTGATATGAGACTTACATTTTATGCAAGGTGTGTGTTCTCTAATATGACATCGAGTGCCACTTTGAGCTCACTGAACGTCATTGAGATAGAGAGTGGTTGCTCTCAAGGCCATTCATGTTTCAGGGTAATCTTGTGAATCTTGGCTTGCTCATGGTTTGGAAACCCTAAAGGAATGTATTGAGTGATTGTAGGAGATGATATGAACATATGATAATGTATGTAATTTGTGATATTAGTAGTGTTATATGATCCTTAGAATGCTTTTATCGATTGTAATCAAGATTTGATGAATGATACTCGTGATATGAGACTTACATTTTATGCAAGGTGTGTGTTCTCTAATATGACATCGAGTGCCACTTTGAGCTCACTGAACGTCATTGAGATAGAGAGTGGTTGCTCTCAAGGCCATTCATGTTTCAGGGTAATCTTGTGAATCTTGGCTTGCTCATGGTTTGGAAACCCTAAAGGAATGTATTGAGTGATTGTAGGAGATGATATGAACATATGATAATGTATGTAATTTGTGATATTAGTAGTGTTATATGATCCTTAGAATGCTTTTATCGATTGTAATCAAGATTTGATGAATGATACTCGTGATATGAGACTTACATTTTATGCAAGGTGTGTGTTCTCTAATATGACATCGAGTGCCACTTTGAGCTCACTTCAAAATGACAACTTATTATTTAAATTAATTCATTTCTTATGTTTTAATTTTTAATCTTTTGATGAAAAAAATATTTTAGTTTCATAATTTTTTAATTATTTTTTTAGCAAAATATTTTTTATTTATACATAATTCTTAAATATAATAATTGTACAATAAAATTTTCTATTTTGAGAGGGATACATAATCCCTCACAGATTGTGACGGAATTTGTGACGGAATACAATTTTTAAAAATTTTCCGACACAGAATTCGTCACAATATTCATCAAATTTTGTGATGGATTTTTGTGACGAAATATTTAGAGAGGAATCAAAATCCGTCACTAAATCCGTCGCAAAAATTTTCTTTTATTAGTGACCCCGTTTGTGACGGAATTGTTAGAGACGGAAATTTTTCCGTCACAAAATCCGTCACAAACTCTAAAAATAAGTAGTCCGTCACAAAAATAAAATTTTTGTCACAAAAGTTGTCACTATTAGTAACGACATTTTATCCGTCACAAATTTTAATATTTCTAGTAGTGAGCGAAAAAAGATTTACTGCCTGAGTATTGTAAATCTAATTTCATTACATAAACTAATTTGAGTTTATAGAAAAATTTATTTAATTTATTTCTTATTTTTTTACATCTTAAAAGTGTTTCGGGATAAGTTCCCTTAAAGATATTTTCCATCAATAATTTGTTTCGCCCTAACTTCTTATTATCGGTTACATTTCAATTCAAAGTTATAGGCCAATTGTATTAGGCTTGTAGTACAATTTGTAACATGAAGTTTTAAAGAAGAGGGATGGCAACCAAAGCTTAGAATAAATTGTGTTTATTTTATATTAACATGGACTCCCTCCCTTTTCTGAAAAAATAAATAATAAATAATGTTTATTGTATAAAGCTTTGGTTGAAGTTCTTTTTCACAATCTCTCTGATTAATTAGCAACACTCTCATCGCACACGAGCTTAAGAAAGTTACCAAAATAAACAAAGGATTTTTCATTATATTGTTGTTACGATAAAGTAAGCAAAACTTTCACATAACACCAAATCAATATAATCCTCTATATAAGAAAATGTACAACAAGCCAGAGAATAAAAAAGGGAAAGAAACAACACTCTTGTACAATAACTTTGATCCTTGTGGTTCCTCTTCCATAATAGTCTCCAATTTGAAAGAATTTGAGGATCTACGACTCCGACAATGAGAAATGAGGAGGGCTGGTGCAACTTCACCCCAATTGTGGACAGATTTCATCTCTCTTGCCATTTGAAAATAAAACTCGAACAAATCCTTTGTTCTTTGACACGATGAGACTGTATTATATATAAGTTGAAAGTTGATGAAAAAGGGCTTGGAAAATATTTTGTTTAACAATTAATAATGGAGTCAGAAGTCAATTGATTGAATGCAATAAGTGCTAAAACATGAGTCATATATAAAAGGTTACGTAAATTTAATTTGGTTTCTAACCCGGAAAAGGAGGACATGACAGAATGTCCAACAATGTCAGTTAAGAATTTAGAGAATCTTGTTTGCATATATTTTGCACGACAAGTAGAATTTGGCGACAGTTTTTCTCTTCTTCTTTTTTAGGATACCCTTTTGCACATTGGTGAATGGATTATGTTACAATTTGTTATTCTTTCTGGTTGAATTACTCTATATAGGTTTTTATAGTTTTAAAAAAACTAAAATTTGGTGACAGTTTTTTTTTTTTTTTTTTGGATTCCCTTTTGCACATTCTGTCACAGTTGGTATATTCTTTTTGGTTGAATTACTCTATATAAGTTTTCGTAATTAATTTATCTATTTTAAAATAAAGATACAAAAATAAGAAGAAGAAAAAAATTATATCAATCATTGATTAAAGTAAATTAACTTTACAAGATACTTAATTAAAATCAATAATTGGTATACTAACTTTAATTTCTTTATACATGCTATGATGCATTTCCTCAAATTAAAAGAATTAAATCATAAATTCTTATAGTTTGTTTTGGTCTATATATTTAAAGATCAAGATACTATATTCAAGTTAAGAAGATTTAGGACAAAGTTTTCAAAACGATTTTTTTTAATACTTAAACGCTTGTTTTCTCTAGTTACATAATCTAAATTTTAAACCCAGAATATTTTTAAGGAAAACTGAAAGTATAAACTTAAGTTTCGAATTTATTATCGTTTAATTATGTTCCTATAATGTTTGTCCTTCACTAATTTTCTCCTATAAAAAGATAAATTAAAATCCATATGGCCTCTCCCACCATTTTCATTTCACATTAAGCCTTTTGAGCTCCTAACATGAGTAACATCTATATTAAAACATGATAAAAAAAATCTATTTTAAAATACAAAGAAATCTATTATAAAAATTAGGAAGTTCGAGACATTTTATATCTCTATATTTTATTTAATAAAAATGTTTAAAAATTATCAATGTTTGATAGATCAATTGGTGTTGTATTTAGCCTTTAAATGTAAAGGTTTTGAGTTTAAGTCTTACCTCAATAAAAATGATTAATTTTTAATATTATTTTATATTGTTTAAAAATTAAGGATAAAATTATCTAAAAAATGTGTCTTTGTAAGAATGATTAATTTTTAATATTATTTTTTATTATTTAAAAATTTAAGGATAAAACGTCTAAAAAAATGTGTATATCAAATGAAACAATTCCATTTATCATATGTTATAGATTTATTGAGCTTCTTATCCTCCAAAAATCCTAAAATTATCACTAACTCTAAGTTGTTAGGACCTTTTAATTTAAACTCACTTTTGCTTCAATAGAGTAAAAACAACATATATCATTTTTTAATGTAATGAAGTATTACAAAGTTTAAATTATCACTACAACAAAATTGTCATACAGTGACACACACCCTATAGTGACACTATACATGTCATTAAAAATTATTTTTACCCACACAATAACTACGATATATGTTAGTATATTATTAAAAAGTGTGAGTATAGACTATATTGACACACAAAATATGTTGTTAAATTTTATTCAAAATCAACACTAAAATTGTGTGTAACTATATGTCAAATAGACATATACCTACATATATTGTACCTATAGTGACATTTTTTGTATGTCATTGAATGTAATATTTTTTTAGTATATACAAAAATTTATAAATTTGATCTATTCATTAAATCTTTTAACTTAATAATTAAATTATTAAAATTTAATATATATATTTTTTATTAATAAAAATACAAAGGATACTCTAACCTATATACACATAGTATTTTACAAAAATAAATTAAGAAAATTAATCCAATCTACGTCAACCCAAAAACAAAAAAAAAAAAAATGACCTAATTCTATCAATAGTTACTCGTAATTTTCCACACACATAGTAAATAAAACTTCTCCCAAACATTTATAAATTCACATATAATATTTACCCCTCTATCAATAGTTACTCGTAATTTTCCACACACATAGTAAATAAAACTTCTCCCAAACATTTATAAATTCACATATAATACTTACCCCTCACATGGGTGTATATATCTAAAATACAAAATATTATTTCTTCAAAAATTCATTAAAATAAGGAATCAAAATATAAATTAAATTAAAAATATTAAAATAAAAATAATCCATCAGTTTAATAATAAGATTTGTTTTTGACAGGAATAAGGTTTATTTTTATTAAGTTGAAAAGAGTATTATAAATATTAGAGATTAAAATTATAATAATGTGTATAAATGAAAGATTGGTAACTGAAAATTGACATAAATAATATATAATTCGGTCGAATATAAATTCAACATTTCTTGAGATATAATTATTCAAAAAAATCTCTTGACAGTATAAATGAAATTCTCTAATAAATCATAGTTATGCATCTCCTATTTATCATTTTTAAGTAAAAACAAATATCAAAGATTTGAAAAAGTGAATGTAATTATAAGAAGGAGTTTGTTTAGTATTTATTTATAAAATTTACTGTTTGGACTGGTGTCACTGGCTTGCTGCTCGCGTCGCTGGCTTTCTCGAGCTCTCTCTCGCATCTCGCTTCTTCGAGTTCTCTCTCTGGTTCGTTTATTTCTTATTTGTCTCTGCATTACTTCTCAAATCTAGGCTTCGTTTTGGTGTGTTTTAATTTTGGACTATCTATGTATTTCTTCTCATCTCTGATTTCTTCTCTAATCTAGGGTTTTTTTTTTTTTTTTTTTTTTTTTTTTTTTTG